GAGGTTTGTTTGACAGATGCTAAATAGTTTTGGTGCAAAATGATTAAATGATCAGAATAATTAAGAGACACTCATGATATAATGCAAAATAAAATATAACTGTTTGGTAATTATTTTCAATGAAATTAGGGTGTTAATTAAGGGAGACTCAAGATACAAAATCATTCAGTGGGTTTTAGAGTCATTAAGAAACAGACTTTTTTTTGCTGAACAAGATTCACCTCTTAACGATTTAAAGATTGCCTCTTAATGGAACTACTAAGAGGTAAACAAACAACCAGTGGTCAGAACGATTAAGAGACTTTCATGATATAATGTAAAATAAAATATAATTATTTGGTAATTATTTACAATAAAATTAGGGCGTTGAATGGTTAAGGAGACTCACAATACAAAATCATTCAGAAGTTTTAGAGCCATTAAGAGACAGACTTTTTTTTGTCAAACAAGATTCATCTTTTAACGATTCAGATGTTGTCTCTTTATGAAACCATTAAGAGGTAAACAAACAACATCTGAGTTGTTGTCGTTTGTTTTTAATCAATCTTGATTGATTTTGAGTTGAAATTGAAAGCTGAAGTTTGATATGATACCAACACGTTTAAGTGTACGAGTGAATGCAAAGTGCTCGGTTTGATTCAATTGTCATGAAACAGAAAAACTAAAATTCTCATTAGACTGACTTTTTTAATAAACCAAACTGCATAATCAAAAATTTGTACATATAGCTTATTTTCCATAAATCATAAGCTGATTTTTTTTTAATGGACAAATTACATGAAAAAGTAACGTACTTTAACTTGATTTCTATTTGGTAACGTACTTTCAAAACTTTAATTTTGGTACCTAAGATGTAAAATTTTAAACATTTAAGCACTCAAGTAACCGGTTGAAGACTAATTTTTAGATTAAAAAAATCCATGTCACTAACCATGTCAGCAAATAATACTGAGTTGGATACTACATCACTCGCCACATTAACATGATAACCGTTTAATGTTTTAATCGGTTACCCATATACTTAAATATTTAAAACTTTACATACGCATTCAAAATAAAAATTTTAAAAGTACGTTATCTAAAATATAAATCAAGTTAAAGTAAAATTTAATGTTTTTCGGTATTCAACATTCAAGAAAATAAAATAAAAACTAAAATAAACATTTGACTAATCAATTATGGATGCCATCTAATTTTGACTTTTTTAAATCTTATCGACAAAATAAAGACGATGATCATTGACCCAATAAATGAAATTTTCTTTCATATTTTTGTCGGATTTTTTACATACAATACTGATAATATGTATATTTTTTTAAAGTATATAACATAATTTATATACGATAAATGCAACAAATAAATTCACATACTCTCTTCATTATTAGTGAGGTTTAAACCTCTGACTTCATAAGAGGAAAGAAGCTCATATACCACTAAGCCAAAAACCATTTGGTTACTAATAATATTTTTGTTAATTATTATGTATATTTTAATCAGATAAAATCATTTTTTTATTGATCTGGATATCCAACCCGTTATGCGAGCCGACTAACCCCAGGACGACCATCTGTTTTGCAAATAACCCGGAGTCACCGCATTTGAACCTCTATGGCCACAAGAGGATTTTTATTCCTCATTGGATTTAAATTTGGGACCTACATGTACTTTTGATCTTTGGAGTCAAGCTCAAACCAATCAGGCACCACCCTTGTGGTTATAAACTTATTTTTTATTAATAATTAATATAATTTACAACAAAAATGTAGCAAATTTGAGAAAGAGTAACATATTTTATTGATATATGAAAGGGACCATTAATTGAGGGTTGAATAAAAACATATGTCTCCATTCCTTGATGATGTTTTCATGCTCCCTAAAACCCACTTCACATAATTGTCCCCATTCTTCCTTCATACTCTTCCCATTTCTTAAACCATACATACATACATACATACATACATACATACATACATACATACATACATACATACATACATACATACATACATACATACATACATACATANCATACATACATACATACATACATACATACATACATACATACATACATACATACATACATACATACATACATACATACATACATACATACATACATACACACATACATATATACATACACACATACATACATACATACATACACACATACATACATACATACATAACTGGTTCTTAAACTTCATTTATTGTTGTTAAATATTTGAAAGTCTGTATTTGTTCACAGTTTTGTTCATTTGACCTAACATGTGCTTATCAAGTCTGTTTAAACGAGAAGGAAATATGTTTTTTTTTGTCATTTTCTTTAATTTATGACTTTTTATTTGTTATTTAGTTATATTATATGACACTTTTATCTCTCGTTTTAAAAAAAATCCCTGAAAAACCCTCACCTCGTCTCTCTTTGTCGGAACCCTCACCTCCCTTTTTTTTTTGTAGGAAAACCCTGATCTCTCACATTTCTTTGTCGGAAAACCCTCACCTCTACAAACTATAAGATTGATTGATCGCGCCACCACCTGCACCACCCTTTATCCTCTCAACGATCGATCTCCTGCTACAGTCGATCAATCACGACCACTTGCACCACCCTTCTCTCGTCGATCGATCGCCACCCCGTGCACTACCTTCCCCTCTAATGGTTTGCAAGTGTTTTCTTAAAGATGTGGGGATCCTAGTTCCTATCTGCGGGGTGGTAGGTCTTCTAGGTTCATCAGGGGAGACGAGAACAACAATTTATTCTGTTCATGTCAAAAACAAAACCTAGATTTGTTATTAGGGTTTTTATTTAGATTTAAATTTTTTGTATCATATTTTTTTGGATGAATTTGTTGTTGATGATATTAATTTACTTGTGGATTAAGAAGAATAAAATTCAAATGAGGGAGACAGAGAAAGAAACAAACAGGGTTTTGTTTATTTAAATATCCAAATAAAGGAAAATGACGCAAGGACAGATTCGTCTTCAATTTTAATGGATGTCTGACAGGAAAAATGGTCAAAATTATAAGGAAAAAAATGCAACCGGTAAGTGTTTTACGTAATAAATGTAGTTTAAAGATCGATTCTATAAAAACGCACAAGGACCAAATTCATAATTTATTTTATATATACACACACATACGTAGCTAAGTATAATGCAATATAACACGATATATCTCGTTTGAAAATCGTAGACTTTAACACTTAGTTATAATTTTGTGTTGTTTTGTATTTTGTTAGACAGCGAGAGAGATTTCAGTAATTATCAGCTATGTGGTATAATTATGACTTATCATTTATATTGCATCTGAATGCATTTATCAATTGTTTATTAGTGTAACTTTATATTGGGTTCACGTGAGAACAAGAGTTTTTCGTGTGACCCGTAGGATCAATTTATGTTCATTGATCAACTTTATAAGCTAATGATCGAATGGTTTAAAGTTGGACGATATCAATTTTGTGATTATTGAGAAGTCTCGAGGCAATTTTGTGATTATAAATGTTCAGATTGTAATTCTAATCCAAGGATTGAGAATTAGTCTTACGGGTCTCAAAAAAAACTTTTGGTCTCATTTGATCCCAAGTATATATATATATATATATATATATATAT